ATGTTAGGGTGTAAAGGGTTAAGAAATTTAATTACTTACACGAACAAGTCTGGGTAACGGTTGGTGTGGTTGATGTTGTTGTTGTTGCTGCTGCTGCAGTTGTTGCTGCTGCAACAATTGAGCTTGAATTTTTTGCTGCTGCTGTTGCTGTTGCTGCTGTTGTTGTTGTAATTGATAAAAATGCTCCTTCCATGCTTCTTTCTGTTGCATATGTTCCAAGTGTTCTTTGAGTGCTGCCTGGGATTCTTTGTGCAGCTGCTGTTGCTGTTGTAATTCTTGCAGCTTTTGCAAGTTCATTTGGAGGTTTTTGGCACCAATTTGCTGCAGAATAAACTCCTGCTGAAGTTGTTGGATTAACCTAGCTTGATTCTGCTGTTGCACCCGTTGTTGTTTCATAAATTCCATATGCTGCTGCTGTAACAGTTCTTGGTTTTGTGGCTGCTGGTGCAGGGCTACACCATTTGACAAAGACAGGCCTGGTGCTGATAGAGACTGACGCAAAGGCCGGTGCACCTTTAATTGTCTTTCCATCTGTGCTGATGTTAGTGATGCAGACAGCCCTCCTCCCACTCCTCGGGGTGATAACAAGTTGTTTTGTGCTTCTGGTGATGTAGACGGTGGCCCTGCTGAAGATGACGAGGGTGGCACCACAGAATTCACTTTCAATTGATGCGCCCCGTAACCCATGGACAGCATCTGAGCTTGTGCTTGGACTAATGCCAGCTGCTTCCACCGCGCCTGATGTTGTGCAGCTGCAGTGACATCACTCTCATCCTCTTCCTCGATTCCATCTGAAATAGTTTGACTAGAATACGGACTCTGCTGTACCTCCATGTGAGTTACATCATTGCTTGCTAAGCTACTGCCATGACTTAGAACACGGGGTTTGTTAGCAAGCTGGCTTGAAAGCCATAGCTGGCTGCCGCGGCCGTGATCCATTCCTGAAGGATAACGTGGAATTGCTTGGAGATTGGGTAGACTGTGGCCGAGACCAGACCCAGGACCAGTGCTCAAGGGTGACGAACCCTAACAAAACAATTCTCTTTAATTAAACCATGTACCAAACAAAATTATTAAAGATGTCCTCGCCCGCAAAAAGTATGAAGGTGTTGTTGCCATATAATGGTGGAATAAAAAAACCAAATCCTTTTAAAACTAAGGTTACATTCGATTGTAAACACTACGGTACTTAAAAACAAAAATAAAATTACTCCACCAAATTACACAAAGTATTTACTTTTAGCAGCCCATTCAGTTATTACCACATGACATTCAGTATAGTGTTTTACCTCTCTGTGTGGTGAGGTAGATGATGACTGGTTTGGTGACCCAGGATTGGAACATTCACCCATTTCACCTCCTGCATTTTCCACTGAAAAAGAGAAAAAAATATATGATTTATCTCTATAGATAAATTCCAGTCTAAAACTACTATGAGTTTAGCTGGCTCTTCTGGTCAGAAGGCAAACTTACAAGAACAGGCTCACGAGTAAAACTGCAGCTCAATCAATAATGGCTGAATCTAAATGAAGTTTTCAACAGCTTTTGGGCAGTCTCAAATGTTTTTTTTTTTTTTGTACAAAACAAAGAGACTGAGTGATGCCGTGTGTCTGTTCAGTAATATATCACAGAGGAAGTCAAACTGTGATAGGAACATCAGTGACACACTTAGCTGTACCTTGTGTGCCACCTCTTTGTTCTTACCACATTTTGATATCATCAGTTATCTATTACTGGACAGACACATGGCAACATGTATCCTTTTCATTGAGTTTATGGGTACCTGGTGGCAAGGATTTTTCAAACATGGGGCTGTACTCTGTTTAACAGCTTATTTATAATAGTCACAGCCCCTAGACATCCCAGGGCACATAATAAATACAGTGTGAAAGAGTATGAAAGAGTGCCTGACAAAAGAGCGCATGAAGACCACATCAGATATTGAGATATCTTAGTTATCGGTGGTTAGAAGCAAAGAGCGAACATATATATTTACCCTTGACCCCAGAGACTGACTAGCATCTGACTAATTTCTCACTGTAACATCAAGCCTGATTCACAGATAAAGGTCACAATGATAAAGGGAATAATCACCAGCTAGAGAACCTCTTTATTGTTAAACAAATTCTCCTAGTCAGAACCTTAGGAGATCTGTAGAGACCAGTTTGGAGAGTCCGCATACTGATGTTAAGACAATTTGTGAAACAATCACTTACATGTTAGGCTCTTGTTCATCCTATTTCCATTTCGACGATCTTGACGCCTATATAGCAATGGGCTTCCATGACAATATTTGAGTCTGGCTTTGAGTGTTGACTTTGCTTTCAGGGTTGGTTCAGAAGCTGTAATGATAAACAGTGGTTGTTTTGACAGGTTTGACTAAACATGTGATTTACTTGACCAGCATAACATAATTGTGTTTCAATGAATGAATTCAGGCTTTTAGCCTCTCATTCCCTAAATTCTTGGAAGTTGAACCACTTGAAATCTCTAATCAACATCTAATGTTGTCACACAGTTTGAAATAATTTTTCATTGGAAATTCTGTGAAAATTGTTCAGCTGCCCAACTTATAGCCAAAGGGTACATGTACTTTATATGCTAATTAATTCATAGTTAGCTTTTTCTTGCTTTCTTATTACTTTTTGCTTTTTTTTAATAACACTGTTATAGCAATTAGGTGTAAGCAAATGGCTTTCAGTGAAAAAAAAAAAAAAAAAAGAACTGAACATTGATCTACATTGTTATCCAAAGGATTACAGCTTTGATAATAAAATTATGACTGCAGCAAATTTGTACTCCTGACCTGTTTTTCTCAATGGATAATTGACTCCCTCATAACCAGTTCCTAGGGGTGCAATTCTATCTGAATCACCATATTGCTGGTTCCTGTCAACAAAACAATTCAAAAGGAGAAAAAAAATTAGAGTGATACAATGTTCCATTGGCACCTGAGCTTGGTTAAAGACAGAACCCTCAAAACATGGATAACTGACTGCTTTAAAAATGAATGGCATTCAAAAATAATTACAGTGCAACAGAGGTTTAAAATAGGCAAAGAAGAGACTTTCAGGAAATCAGGCTTCAAAAGTGAGGCATCATAGCCGAGTCTGTATTGTACTAGGACTGCCAAGACTTCAAAGTCCCACCTGATGCATGAAATGATGTCAAGTAAAACTGCCTAAATCTGGAATGCACAGCAGATATCTTTTTAACAATAAGAAAACAAACCTTTGCCCAATTGAATTCAGATATAATCCTTGACAACTTAACAAAACTCAGACTAACCAGTGCTTAAAGGCTTGTGCATGTGCTCCAGAAGCTAAAGCAAGATCCTTTTGCTTCTTGCTGATGACAAACTCATGAAGACGCTTCTTCACCTCGCTTGAAGATACTGTAACAAGATTTCAGAGAAGCTATCAAAACTCTGACTCCACATCAAATCTGTCAAAACCTCTATTTTCTAAATTACAAAAGAACATGGGCTTAAATGCCATTTCAGAAAGGTAATCCATGCCAACTTTCAACCATGGGTGTGATTAACAACTAACTTCTCCTCATGATTTCAACACATTCTCCAGCAATTTTGTTATGAGAATATGATGCATGAATCAAGAAGATTATTAGTTTAATGATAACAACCATATCCTGCGAACTGCAAGAAAACAAACCAGAGCTGCAAAGGAAAGTTCCCAATCAGATCTTTGGAATGTAAGGGTTGGCAAATTTATCAATTGAATACTGAGGTCAACCAAATTCAGAACCAAAGTATTGCATGCCCAATGAGTAATAAAATTTAGGGACTTAAGCTGCTCAGAATTCTGTTTTCAATACAAATCCTTGGAACATTTAGAAGGACAAATTTCCAATAGAGAGCAATGAGTGTAAACATGTATCATGCCAGAATAAAAATTTCACTCCATTTCCGAAAAAAAACCCATGCAAGCAACCTTGACCTGGTTACAAAATTAAACTGTTCAAGTATAAGGATATGACATCAATCTGATGTTCACTAACATTCTGGTGGAGGCAGCTGCTGAGATCCTTGGGACTGCTGTGGTTGTGGCTGGGGTGCTTGTTGATGTTGTGACTGTTGCTGTTGTTGTGAATGATGGTTATCCTGTGCTGGTGCCTTCTGAAAGTGCTGTTGTTGAGTAGCTATAGGAGGCTGTTTCGGTGGAGATTGAAGCACTTCTTGCTTTATTTTAGATTGCTTTTCTGGAGGCTCATCTTGATCCATTGCTGAACAACCTTGTCCTCTTTCATTTGATTCTTCTGGTTCAACCTTCAAAAAAAAAAAAAGATATATCATAAAACATATTCCTTGCATGGAAGTGGGCAATCTAACACCCACTTTCCTTCCTCACAAATACAATTCTTCACACCAGAGGTACGCAGTTGCTTTTAAGAGTTACATACTGTGTTCATCCTTTCTAACTCTTTGATTCACATGAGTGACCAAGACAGAATTTCTCCATACAATATCATATACAATATCAAGAAGACAAGTGATGAGAATAAAGGAAAATATCAACAAGGGATTACTAGTTGACCCATAATGAAATTCTCTGAACTATCATCAAAAGAATTGTATGACAGAGTAAGGAGAATTACAAATGAGATCAGAAAGATAGACAAAAACCCTTTAGTAACCCCTATTTTCCCCATGTGAAAGAGAGATGGATTACCTTGGGTAGTAATTGGCTGCTACACTTATGAGATTTTGGCTTGGGTTTTAAAACCCTTGACAATATTTCAAGCTATCCAAGCTACATGTATCCACTAACAAACAAATAAATTACAAGCCGGAGATTCCTATCCTGTGATAATTACATTTATCATATATACTACTGTGTTTTACAAGGATTTCCAGCCCTGAGAAAGCCGTAACAACACATGAAGATATTTTTTCACATGCGTTTGATATCACCAATCAGCTGCAGACACATCACTCATCTTTCACACCACTCAGTCAGGTTGATGAATGAATGGCAGAGCTTTCACAATTCTCAATACAAGGTAGGTTGTCAGAACTTTCACCAATTATAGCTGCTAAAACATTGAAAAATCCATACCACTCACAGGCAGTGATATTCAAACTTTTCTAGAAGGGGAAGAAAACTAATATACAAAAAGGAAAACCGAAAGTTATGTATTCAGTGACTTTGGTAATGGCATTTCTTGTGGCTGAGAGCAAAAATTAACAACTGGAAAATCTGCCATAGGCTGATTTCGGCCACAGACCAAAGGAGGACTCTGCTAGAACTCCAACTTAGGATTGCTGAGCTGGAGACCAATGCATTAGACAAACACATCTCCAAGAAATGAGCAAAGCTTTGGAATCAAAAAGTGTTCTTTTTAGGATATCCTTCTCCCAAAAGGGCTATCATAATTAGTATCCAGACAAGGGTTTCCAACCAACTGGCCCACAGACCAATTTTCCCACTGACCAACTGGCCCACAGACCAACTGGCCCACACACCAACTGGCCCACACACCAACTGGCCCACACACCAACTGGCCCACAGACCAACTTTCCCATGGACCAACTCGCCCACAGACCAACTCGCCTACAGATCAACTGGCCCACAGACCAACTGGCCCACAGACCAACTGGCCCACACACCAACTTGCCCACAGACCAACTCCCCCAAAGATCAACTTGCCCACAGATCAACTGGCCTACAAACCAACTTGCTCACAGACCAAATGGCCCACAAATCAACTGGCCCACACCAACTTGCCAACAAATAAAATCACTTCAATAAGCTGATTACAGAATTAGTCTGATCAAGTGATAATAAAGTAATTGAAGTTTCAACTGTTGTATTGTCCATAAACTTTATGCCGTTAGAATACAAACCAAAGTGTTCGGCAATGAGCATACTGTTACATACAAACACTTACATGCTATGGATGCTTTCCAACACCTTTCCAACACTTATTACACTACCAAAATGTGTATTTCTTAAGTAAGAAGGTTTTTATTTTGTTCATATGATACAGTTTCTTGTTGTTGTGTTTATTATGTTATATTTTAAGCCAAAAAATCAAAATGAATGTTCATGGATTTGAATCTCAGCATCTACTAGTGTTTGAATGTAATAGTATGCTGGTTACTGAAGACTTTGGTCTGTGAATGACTTTGAATATATGAAAATCATATATATGAACTGTGGATTGATAAATGCATACAAGAGAGATCTTTGAAGTAATGAACTTTACTTAAAAAGCAATCAAAAAGTTATTTTAAGCATGGGCCAGTTTGTCTGTGGCCAACTTGACTGTAATTCCAGACAAGACTAACCTTAATTTTTGGTTGAGGAAAGCGGTACTCCCTTTCTTTTTGTGTCTTTTCTTGTGGCTCTCTATGGCGGTGGTCTTCTTGCCTCTTCATAAGCAATCTCTTACGCTGTTTAAAATAACTATCTGGTAAATGACTAGATCTGAATTAGCAATACACAGATTAAGATACTGAAAGGATAAAAAAAGGGTTAGAAGTCTTGCAAAATAGGCATCAAACACCTTGGGGCTAAAGGGCGGTTTGTCTAGACCTGAGCCCCACTGTAATATTTGCATACACTGGCTCTTTCTTCATGGTTGATATTACTCTGTACTGATTTTTTCTTTCAAATTGCCTCTTTAGTAGCATTCAACTGTAATTTAACAGTCTCAATTAGAAATTTAACCCTCATTTCTTCAAGATATAAAAATAAAGAACTGAATTAGCTGAATTACCTGAAGGATTAAGTTTTAAGTTTTGACTTTCAAAATCAAAAATCAGATTTTGAGAATGGGTTCTGAATTGTGAAAGGCTCTAAAAGATATATATATATATATATACTGTATAAATATGTGTACATCTATATATGTGTATATTATATATATAGAATAGACACTTTTTAAAAACATAAATTTGCACCAATGAGTTATTTCCATACCTGCAATTCGTGCTGATGCTGTTGCTGAAGTTGCTGTAACTGGTGTTGGAAGTTTTGGTAGAGGAGCTGTTGCTGCAGCTCCTGTTGCTGCTTGAGATAGAAAATGTCTGAAAGTTGTTGTTGTTGGCTGGGTGACAGAATAAAGCGTGGCATGGCTACTCCTTCTGGAGAAACTGTTGATGCATAATGGTTCATGTCTGAAAGACAAAGAAAAACTTATGCTTGCATGCATGAACATGAAGGAAAAAACATGAAGAGAATTCTATGGCCCAGGGTTAATTCCTGACCTGATATCACATTGAGTAAATCCTTTCACTTTTAAGATCTCATTACTAACTCTCCTTGCTGTCTTCCATACTACTGATCCCCAAATTGATATTTTTCTTTATTCTCATCACTCATCTGCTTGATATTGTATTTCTTATTCAAAGGAGAAATTATGTCCTGCCCCACTTGCTGTTTTCAAAGCTCTCTCAAATTTTCTCCTCCACAAAAACCTAACACACCTATTACCAACTTGGCCTTGATGCCCTTACAGATGAGCAAATTAAAACATAACAATTCTCATTGCTCACTATTATTTGTCTGTGCTTTTGAGAAATAAACGCTTTTACTGAAATCATCAATCAAGATCCTCTTCAGCTGCTTCAGTTGCAAAAATTGAAAATACAGACTCAGAGAGAGTCCTCCATTAAAAAAAAAGACATCAAGATTTGATTCAATTGTCTCCCCAATAAGTTTTAAATAAACCCTCTTCTCTCTAGTCTGACCCTCTCTCCATCAAGCACTCTGTTTCAGAGCCCCAGAAATCAGTAAGTTCCCACACGGCTAATTAGAGTATTTCTGGCAAATAGACATTGTAGGTACAGCGTAGGCCAACATCAAGTTTTTCAGTTATTCTAAATGTACTTCTCTCCAATTCAACTTGAGTTGATAATCTATATAGCCAGTGGAATAGGAGATTGTAATTGATTTAGGTAAAATGGCATACTGGTTCAAATTCATCCTTTCATACAACTAATTTTACAAGGTACATTTGTCTAAAAGTTCATAATTTTTTTTTACTCTCTTTACATAGATGTTTACTTATTTGCCACACTACAAAAATTTGCAACAAAGCATGATACATTAAGTTAGATATTACAATGTATATGGCAAGGAGTCCACAAGGCTAATATACAGATAGGTTTCCTCCCAAAAGAACACACATTCATGCAAATAAATAAACAAACTAGACAGATACAGGTGTGTAGGTGTGATGCATACATGTAGTACAATAAAGGACAACATCCCTCATAGAATAATTCCTTACAGAAAAAATTTACTTACCACTAAAATTTTGCACTAAGGGGACCACTGGTATCCTACTGTTAGTGGATGTCACTCTTGTGGGAGAATCTGAAGAAGAAATCAATGAGACTAGGCTAAGATACTAGGAAAATTTGGCGTGTTTATTTGTTGTGGACTTAAACCTCAATCTTACATACTTGAAGTACTACACATTTCAAACTCTAAGGATCAAGAATGAATTGAATGCTATACAAACCAACACAGTAAAGAACAAAGTAAAAACTGATTTTCTTGATGCCAGTCTTGCATGCTGAACTTAATTGTGTGCCTTGAAACTTGAGTCTGGGCCCATTAAAGGTTTTGGTGATTGAGAATCAGAGGATTCATTCAAGTTTTGAGTGACTTTCAATTTAAATTTGACCAGTAATGCACACTTGAACTTCTTTAAAGATTCTCCAACCTTAGTCAAAGCTGACAATAGCACTCAAAATGGGTTGGTGACATGAGCTTCCAAATACTGTAAGAAGTTTTTGTGGCCCAAACATGGCAGCCTTACTTTTGATAAGAAATTGTAATCTCATGGAGTTATTTAAAATCCATACTAAATCACAAGTTCAGGTGAAGCCCACAAACTATAAACTTGTGAAGCACTTTCTTAAATTCTAATTTTCTGCAAAAATTTAAACAGCCAGTCCTGTCTTATTTACAGACAAAATTCTCAGTATCATTGCAGACCATCCCAATCAAATTCAGAGAAATCTATGATGAATCATATAATATAAATACCAACATACTTAAACAATGTTTTCACTGTTAGTGATATATAAAGATGGCAGTGATCATCCGGTTATGAATACTATTTGAGCAGTAGTGAAAATAAAGCTTGAAAATAAATTTCAAGCTTGTATGGGAGTTAAACCTATGACCTCTGTGATATTGGTGCAGTTCTCTATCAATTGGACTAACCCATCAACTGGGTGCTTGTCATTTTGTGGTTTTTAATAAGCCCACGAGTAAAGAATGAATGAAAATATAAACATCATACAGTAATACAAAGAGATGAATATAGGAAGTCAAAAGTTATCAGCTTGGATGACAATGGCCATAAATTGACAATTTGTTCAGCAACAACAGCTACAATTTCTAAACCTACTACTGACCAGAAAAGGGATATCAATAGCCCTTGTGAGGACAACTGCACCAGAATATCCACTGTTACCCTTTGGCTCAGCTACTTAGTTAATATTAATGCATCTAACTATTTTGCTGGAGGTCAGTTTCTAGAATAGGCCTCTGGGATCAACAAAAAATGCTGAACTATACTTAGGTGTAACACCAGCTGCTTCACACTTTTATTCTCTAAAAAGCACTCACAGCAGCTCTGAAATTGTAAACCAGCCCTTTAAAAAACATGAATGCAGCAAGACAAGCTTAAATTTATCACCCTTTTAGTTTACCATACAGCATGAACATATTGTGAGTTTTGAATTACTTGATTGTGGATTTTGCCAATTTCTTCCATCCACTAAAGTAGTATTTTTTGTGGCAAAAAAATCCAACAAAATAGAGTGCTTCAAAATTGTTTGCCTTTTATTAAGTCCAATGAAAAATTCTCAGAGAACAAGCAAGGTTGGGGTATGTTATTTTTAGATTTTGTAACTGTGTAAGTCAAGCAATGCTAATGACCTACTCATTAGATCTCCTCCTCAAAAAAAAACAAACAAAAAAAAATAGTGAAAATTGCCTGGCTCCTAATGTGTGGCTTTAAAGCTCAGTTGGTAGTAGCACCCAACTAAAATCCAGGAAACACATGTTCGAATCCTGTCAAAACCTGAAAATTTTAAATAGATGGCTTTCACTTACAAATTTGATCACAATTCTGTTTTAGTAAAAAAATTTTTACAATTGCCAGAAAAGCCGCAGTTCAAATGAATGAAAGATAACATTGACTGAGAAATAAATATACATATTTAGTTCTCATGGTGAATATCATTATTCCAAATGTTATTTAAAAACAATTCTGTATCAAGTGCACCCCCTGAGGCAAATTCAACTCTGTGTTATTGTCAAGACTGAGAGAACCTTTAAAAAGTATGTTACTTAAAATAAATGCAGACTGCATTCTAGTGAGAAAGCTCCTCACTTGATTTTCACTACCCAAGTGCATTTAACAGAGACTTGTATTAGACTTAACGCTTTACTAAGTTCACATCTTCTTTAACAGAAGCCAGGGTCTGATTTTCCCACTCCCTGAAAAAATTTCCTCCTTTGCTAAGAAAATGCCTGGAGCAATTTTGCATTAAAATTAAAAAAAAAAGTGTTTTTACTTGCATCCTCAAATCTCATTGTACCTATATCTACTTAAAAACCGAAACTGGAAATAACAGGTGATAGCTGATTGCAAATTTCTCAGTTGATGATTGCTATTTTTAAAAGCTCAGTAAAATTAGCATGTTAATTCAATCTCCCAGAGAACCAATTATAGCTGATGAAAAATTAAAAGACAAGCTGTTTAAGAAAATATCTTATAAAATTAAACCTTATGTCGAATAAATAAATTTGCTTGTATATAAATGTAACCAAAATTTCACATTTCTGTCTTTCCCAAAACTTGAAATGGTACATGTATACCATGAAAAGATATTAATTCTGTATACTTTTATAGATGAAAAGTACTTTCATCATCTGCCACATTAACAATGAGCCACAAATTAAAAATAGTATCTTTGCAGAAAAAGGTAAGAATATTGAACATGTGTTTCTAAATGACGAAAATAAAACAAGTTGAGGTGGTGATGAAACAATGAGTGAAGAAATATATGTATGAACTATAATGGCAGAGATTAAAATAAATCCGGATTTGATATCAGCGTTGAGGAAATACATTAAGTTCAAACATCAGTAACAGTGAAAAATAAATGAATATCCAATCAAAGGCAAATACAGCTGAACTGAAAGCTTCTTATGGACACACATTTACTGAGCAGTTGCTACAAGTCAGAATGCTAAAATTAGTAACCATACCCTACCAGACAAACCAAGAGTCCAAGAGGGAATGGTACAAATGAATTGAAATTGTTCAAAGCCAAGAAAACTGGGCTCCAAAAGAGGTTCAGCTGCTTGGAAGATATCTCTCTTAGCAACGACACAACCAAAACCAAGTAGTGTGGGACTGCATGTAATATTTCCTAACTTGTCACAGATCTGTCACAAAATTTAACTAGGGTAGAATCTATTATTGGAAACTAAACAGTAGAGCCTACGAACAACAAATAAAGCTCTGATTTATAATTAAAAAGAGAGAAAAGATCAGAATTTGAATTGCTTCCTTATATATATGTCCCTGGTTTGGCTTCAAGCTCATTTCTATTCACCCTGCAAAATCATTCCTATGAAATTGTCTGACCCAAAATATATAACTCTCTCCACTACTTTATTTAGAGCTGTCAATAAGAGTCACAAGCTGGCCAAGATAGGCTGCTAGTCCAGTGTTCATAAGAAGCACTAGTGGCCAGCATTTTCAACAGCTTTGTTTTAACAACAGTTTCTGATGCAACAGATACTTTATTATGACAAGGCAGTAAAATACCTGTCTTCGTCAGAAAGAAATTCTAACCTTTACATTATTTTTGTTTGTAACCAGAAAGATTGATTAAAACTTGAAAGAAATCATTAAGGAAAGGTTAGAGGAATACAAATGAACAGGATAAATGCTTGTGTCTTCTGGGCCCACACTTGTTTCAAATCAGCCGAATCCTTTATGACTGGCTTTCAAAAAATCTCTGGGAACATTGCTAGTCTGACATCTGTATTCTGCTTCTATTACCTTATTTTACCAAAACTGCTGATGAATTGTTGTACATTCTAACCACCATTGAAATACTATCACAGAAGTTTGTATAGCAATCATTTCCCAGTTTTAAGAAAAATGAATAGTTTCCATAATTCACCAGTTAAAGGCTTAATCGTGTAGTCTCACTGTCCAGGTGAGTACAAGTGAGGTGTCACTAAAGGTGTGTCAAGAGAAATTGATCTTTTTCAAGTTGGCAGGGGAGTTTGAGCTAACTGGATTCAAGGTAGTGGGGCTCTGTGGTTTACATTAACAAATCCCATCATTTTGATTGGCCAAGACAAATTTAGTTTTCACATGACATATTGCAGATAATAGGTAGAGCAGTGCAGAAAAGAGGTATTCTAGAGCAAAAAAGATGACATGACTAACACTTAAGCTGGGCTTAGAATTTTTTTTTGACCTGGGAGACTCATGAAGGCATTTTAAACATTGCTGTTTTGATTGAATGCTATAGTGTTGACAAAATGCTCAATGACATATGAGTTTGAATAAATTATTTTGGCTTATGGCTTGCACGCTTTGCTTCTGCATAATTGTTAAAAGACCATTTCTACATTATTTCATACAGACTATTGACATAAGACTTTTCTTATGAAATTTGAAATAAATAAGCACACAAAATTTTTTTCAAAGACCTTAAATTTGTCTCCCCTATGGGCATGTGCAATTTAGTTCACCTGAAAGCCGACTGGAAGATTCCGTTCTCATGCCTACTTGTTCCAATTGCACGTGGAATCACGTGATTACCTGAACAAATTCCCATAACAAAATAGTATGGTTGAAAATTCTCAAGGCCTTAACTTAATATTGCTAATTATTAATATCAAGCTCAATACTATCTGATATAACTGAATGTTGTATGAAACTTAACATTGCCTCACATGGACTACTACAGTAATGCCCAGAAAACATATTCATCTGTTTGTGCAGACTTTGTACTTTGAAAGATGTGTTTACATTTGTGTCAACACATTAATGGCTTAATGCTTTACACTAGATGCATTTTTATTCATTCTGGGTTAAATTTCAGCATTTAAATATAAAAAAAAATTCTTAGGCTCAAGTTACACTTCAGACCAAACTTTGTCTAGTTCAAAGGTAAGTTTTGAAAAGACAATTTTTATCAGGGCAAGGGAAATAAGTGTAATAATTGTATCAATAGTAAAACCTTCAAGGCAGGGAAAGATGCAAATAAGCAAAGATCAATTTAAAGGAAAGGGGACTGAGAACAACCTTAGCCATGACAGTTCTAAGC